ACGGGATTTCGTCAACTCTTCATCAAGCGGTGGAAATGTTAACTAAATATTTAAAAAGTTACGCATCACTAAAAATAAACCATGAAAAATTAAAAGCGTACGAGGATTCAAATAATATTTATTATTTGATTTACCTATTAAGATTTTTACTTTTAATTATATTATACGATTTTTAGATTGGTTGATAATTCTAATCACGAACTAATAACAAAGAGATATCTTTGGGAAATTCAAATGCTCGAAAGCGATGAAAAAATAGCTTCATTTAAAGACCAAATAAGGGTAAGTGATTATTGATTAACAGAAGCAATGAACTAGGTAACACTTATTTTCTTATTTCCTACTAATTTTCGACGTTAACTGATACATATTTGGGAAAAATGTGTTTTACAATTTCTTTGGTTTACACATTTTAGTATAAAACATTAAACTGTTTCACAGGATGCAACTAGAAATACAAAAGCTAAGCTTTGTTATGCAGAGAAGTGGATAAATGCCACCGCTGAGGCCGTGGACCTCCGATTCCAAATTAAACCAAAACCATTACCTAACAAAGACCATGAGCTGCGAATTCACGGTGAGATAGCGCAAACATATGAATTAGAAACGAAGGTACGGAATGCAATGTTAACCATCCTTTTCAATCTATTAAACTAAGATACTTCTGATTCTATTGGATTTTAAAGCAAAAGATCAACAAATGAAGCTTACTTATTTTAGACTATAATAAAGCTATGATTAAGCTTAATATTAGACTTTCAGTGCAATATTAATTTCTGACTATTTTTCAAATTATATCTGCAGTAGGAATTCTGATCCGAAAAGAATATAATTAAAAGTCATGATGTAGGAACGCGAAGAATTATTAGAACAGTGGAGGACAAGGTATGCGGAGGATACAGCGAGGATCAGTCGCCACGTGACGGAGCAACGTGAAAAGCTGCGCGTGACGACTGCACGGAGACTCGAACTACAAAAACTTGTAAATCTTTTTAATTAATATAATATTTATAGTTACCTGATTAGGTTTAGTACGCAATATATTTTTACCGTTGTACGTAGTCTTTGTAGTAACATAGTTATGTTATTATGTATCTTTAACTTGCTGTTTCAGTACGATTTACATGCAGGCGAGATGCGAGCTTGGCTAACATTTAAAAGAGAACGAGCAGCCCGTTTGGCTCGTGAAGAACATGCCAAGGCCGCAGCCACGAGGATCCAGTCGTGGTGGCGGGGCTTAATGGTGCGCCGTGCCCTTGGCGCTTTCAAACACCTACGCAATTCTAAAAAATCTGCCGTTAAAAAGAAAAAATAGGACTTTACGAAAATACCCTAATAAATAACCTAACAATATAGTATAACAAATATTATATATACATGTGATACATTGTTTTATATCATATCTTTATTTCTATTTCCCACGCTGGCGCAAAAAAGTCCTAAGTACAACTACAGCAACTATTTTGAATCTAATAATATCTCTTAGCAACGTAAAACCATAACAAATATGTCTACACCGAATTTAAACGTTTTAAAGCTACAAGCGGTGTTTGCAAAAAGATTTTTATTTAACAAAGATCACAGAAAATAATTTATTTTGCTGTTTCCAAACGCATCTGTCACTTTTTGGCTGGAGAACTGCAAGGGCTTTGCTTGCAACTGCAACTTGGCAACTTGCTTGCTGTCACTGTCAAGTTGACAAGTCACAAATCTTAAAAGTCAAAGTCAGTCTGCGTTCTACATTTATATAGAAAGCATGTGGTGCTTTCTCGCAAACAAATGTATAAAAGTTTATTTTGCGTTTAGTTTAAATTTCAATAATTAATATTATATTTAAAATGAAGTATGAATAAAGACAAACTAGTGTTGTGCTATTGAAGGAACTGTGACAAATCGAATAACTGTATAGTTTGAAAAGAAGAATTCTTGGAAAGTTGGATATTATTATCTTGGGATTCGGTGAGTAATTCTTTCTTTGGTACAGCATTTATAAGTTTTTGCACATTACGAATTTCATACGTTGAACAAGCTATTGTTCATGTATTAAAAATACAATATTTTGCCATATTCTCATTTTAAAAACAAAGGAATATATTTATTATTTTTGTAAAACTGGTATCAAAAATAAATTAATGTATGAAAGATTAATTTGTCCACTTAACATGTTATTTTAGTTTCTAATTTTACATGGTATTTACTTAAAGTACTAATTTTAATTTGGACTAGTTGTCTCCTGTAACCCTGTTTGCTTAGAAAAAAATAAAATTAGTAGCCTGTGTGTTCTTCCAGACTATGTTCTACAGCTATGCCAAATTTCATCGAGATCCATGGAGGTGTTCTGGATATACCTTGAAACAAAAATCCATCCATACATCCAAACATTAGCGTTTATGATGTTAGTAAGATTAGTAAAGTTATGTTTTATATGTATTACTATTCTTTTATATTTAAGGTATTGAAATTTTGTGTTGAACCATTATTAAAATAAGTCTATAAATGTAACATCAAAAAATGTTTGTCCCTCTGTGTTTGCTGTATAAAAATAAAGTTCAATGATCATAAGTTTTGGTGTCTTGTAACATAGAGATGTTCGTTTCAACCCAATCAATAATTTGGAAGCTAAATTTTGATCCAAATTGAATTATATGCTTTTTTCCTATACCTTTGAAGGTAGATAGAAAACATTTTATAAAGAATTTAAACATATACAACAATAATTACTAGGTACTACTAAGTTTTTGAAAAAGTCCTCTTTTTATACTTTATTGTTCGGTAATGCATATACACTGCGAGATTAATTTTAATATGGATCTCTTTTCCATAATTGAATAATTTCTATTAGAAATACATCTTTCTTATATGCACTAAACATTTGTACAGATTTTGGTGAAATTTTGACAGTATACTGAGAACACTTAATGGGTCTAGGTCTATTTTTTTATAACTATTTTACTTATTTAATATCGTAGAATTTTCACTAATAGCAGTAGCACCGAAAGTTTGCAACTATAGTAACTTATCAAGAAAGATTAATATAGTGCCATCTAGGATCTAAAATAACAAACTTGATAGTGTAATAAGTATATTAATGTTTAGCAATAGAAGTGGTCATTATACGGGGCTCTTTATAAGATTTATTTTAACAGTAAGTTTATACTGCCAGTAGGGATAGAAAGTAGAGATGTAAATACTTGTATAAAGATATATTCTCATCCCTGTTCTCTAAAAGAAAATTGAGATCAAAATTTGACTGTTTTTTCGTCTGTGACAACTTACGGTAGCTATATAATGTACTCCTTATATGTTGGTTGTAATTGTAGGTATCGTTAAGTCTTACATGAGAGTAGAATGCTGCAAATTAGTGCGTAACGAGTGCGGTCCGGTGGTATACGTGGGCTTGGTAATTAGCGCTTTAATCGTCGCGCTGCGCTCCACTGATGCAACTGCTTTTCCGAGAAGGCGGTCGCTGGAGCTCGGCGGAGGAGCGGCAAATTGCAGGCAGCTATGTGTGTCGTAGGTAATTGCAGGAACGGGCTTGTGCAGCGCTGCGTACGCGCAGGAAAGCATACCTGAACACTGGCCTCAACCGCTCTTTGTATGTTCATACTTACCGTCTGATAGTTACTTGCGCGTATTTCTGATTTTACAAACTAGTTATTACCCGTGATTTTGTCTCCAGGTAACTTATTGGATTTTTATAAATATTGAAAAAGACTAACAGTTTAGTGTTTTTTATATTAATTTCATTTATATCTGATTCTGATTAATACATAAAAACTTTTTTATGATTGGCTTCTTGAAATTAATGATTTTTTTTTACTTTATGAGTAAGTAAAAAATCGGTATTAATTTAAGTAGGTAGTAGTACATTTTTTTATATGATTGCCATACAAATAATATTAAATGTATCTTTAGATAAGACTTAATTTAGATTTTAGTCTTAATACACATTTTATCCTTCTAACTTAGATCTTATTATGCAGGTAATTCCCCAAAAATCGTGTTATGATAAGCGATAAATATCTAAGAACTTTAATCCGCACTGACTCACCTGCACACATTGCTGCCGACTGTGTTATAAATATTTTATCTTTAATTAAATATATAAAAATTAATAAGGTTTTGTTTTAGAATATTCAAAATACGTAAGTCAAAAATACGCAGCAAAAACTGAAGCAAACGCATCTTAAAGTTTTCGTTCTTATCGTCACCTAATAGTAATTGTGAGATAAATTTTAAATTATGTTTAATATAAAAATGCAAGCTGTGGCCCGCGACTCCGTCTGCGCGGAAATAAAAAAAAAACTTAATAAGTATCCTATGTGTTCACCCAGACTATGTTCTACATCGATCCCAAATTTCAGCGAGACCCATACCTACTAACAAACATTCGTTTTATTGTAATATTAGTAATATTCTCCTCAAAGTATATGTGTTGTGAAATTTATAGCGTGAATTCGCATGAGTTGCTTGTCTATGGGTCTATGGCGATTGTGTTCATGACAATAGCAACGCGGAGTTACCTGCGTTAGTTCGCACGTATGAAAAGGACATTATTCAAAATTCAATGCACATCACTCTTCAGTGTAGTAGCGAAATTCAAAAATAAATGATGCGATGCGATACAATGGAATATGATAGATTTGATAATATATTTTTATTTATTCTGAATTAGCTGTCGCCCGCGACTCCGTCCCTGCGTATTAAAAAAATATAATTCTTTCATTTTATTAGCCTATGTGTTCTTCCAGACTATGTTACAGCGAAATCCATTCAGCTGTTTTTAGGTTTTTCACGGCAATTATTTGAATTTTTCTATCCTTTTTATTATAAAATTATTCTTCCCTAGACCTCCTCGATCATTTCAAAACCAAGATAAGATAAATCCGATCTGCCGTTCTCGAGTTTAAGCGAGACTAACGAACAGCAATTGAATTTAATAAATTCCGTATTAAAAACTTCAATTATCTCTACTTTTTCAAATAAAATGAACATATTATTTTTGTTTTTTTTTAAATATAATGTCTGGGATTAGGATATGTTTTAAACAGAGATTTTTGTGTGAAAGCAACGGTTAAATACTTGTTTAGTTTACCTACTTTGAAAAAAAATGTTGCGAAACTGTCAAATCATCCTTCTAATATTTCAATTTGAAGTCAATACATAAATCGATACTGCTTACATAAATTACTAGGAAATTACAGTATAGCAATTATTTGCATGTCTAGTCAATATTAATGTTATTGTCCTATACGCATTTCATTATTTACTATTAGGTGAACTTGCAGTTTAACCGTTTATATTTATATGCACTCGATTTTCCCATAGTTTCATTGAATTAACAACCATGGAAAAAAAGTTAACTGATATATATTTGTGACTCAAAAAGAGGTTAGTAAATACTTTTTTCTAAGTAACTCGTAGTAGTTTAAAAAAATCGTACAACTTGAAATAATTCTCAGTTTAATTTGGTATTATATATGATGGTGATGTAAAGTGTTTAATAATTTTTATTATAACTTTAAAATCATGTTAATTATGTAAGAAATTTCGATTATTTTTCCTCAAAACCTTTTTTTTTTTAAATTAAGAGTAGAAAATATACGTACTTTTTAGATATATTTATTTCCAAATAAGAGGTAAAACAAGCTTTGGGAAATGTAATAGGAATTTCAGATAACTAATATAAAACGTAAATTAACTTTATTAAGTATATGGTAGAAAATGTATTTTGCTGGACGCGTGTATATTCACATTAGTGTCAGGAAAGAGTTCATGCTTGTAGCAAAATCCCTTCACATTCTGCGGTTCGCCGCTGTCATAACGATTTGAATTTATCTTTTCCTGTGAGAATTTTGTACATATTATTTTTAAAATGTTGTTTAACATTTTTCCAATATTTCAATTTTTATTATTAATAAGTAAATTAATATTATAAATGCGAATTGCATTGATGGATGTTTGTTAGAAGGTATCTCCAGAACAGCTTTACGAAGCTCGCTGTATTTTGGCATAGATGTAGAATGTAGTCTGGAAGAATACATAGGCTACTAACTTTTTTTTCGCCCATACGGAGTCGCAGGCGACAGCTAGTTTATTAATAAACATTGATGGAATGTGAATCAATTTCATTATTTCAATTTTAATAAAATATTGTTAACATAATAGTTATCGATTCTTTGTACATGTGGTATTGCATTATCTGTGGTAGGTGCTACCTAACTGTGGCTTGCCATTGTCGAAACACTAATGTTTTATTTCCCTGCATCAATCGTAAAAACGAAACGAATTCGCATCTGTTGCGTAAACATATTAATTCAATCTTCATATATTAGTACGCCTAAAAGCTTTTCGGTAATGACAGTCTTTGTTAAAGAGTTAATTTGATTTGCATGTGTATGTAGGTATATTTAAATATACATATCGAGCCCTTTGGTAATATTTTTTACAAGAGTAATTAAAACATAGTTCTTATTATAGTTTCTGAATATATGAACTTCTATTTCCGAGTACTGTACATTGCAAAATATTGAAAGCTCTTATATAATCTTATGTTACTAATATTGTAAATGCGAATGTTTGGATGGATGGATGTTTGTTTGAAGGTATATCCAGAAGGTCTGTAAGGATGTCGATGAAATTTGGCATTGATGTAGAAAATTGTCTGGAAGAACACATACGTTACTAATTAAGTTTTTTTTTAATTCCCCGCGTAATTAAAAATAGTCTCAATTAGTAGTCTATCTATTCTTCCAGGCCGAATTTCAGCCAGATCTATGCAGCCGTTCTGGTGATACTTTCGAACAAATATCCATTCATCCATACATTCAAACATTTGCATTTATATTAGTAAGATTAAAATTATACATAAATACTAATGGTTGTAACTATGCAATAGGCATCTATTGCTGAACGCCTGTAAACTTTATCACAGGGATTGCGTAGCGTAGTAATCCGCTAGAAATATCCTTATTTCTAGTCTTCGATTACTATTAAAAAAGTTGATAGCACTTTTTGTTTAGCACTAAAGGTATTTCCCAGTATTAGAAAATTGGCGTTCCAAAAAAACGTTACGAGTGTGTAAAGGAAAACGTTAGGTATCGGTATTTCCAAGTTGTTAAGGGTCTAGTCACTAAGCTATTCGCAGAATTGTAGGACAGATCATTTTGTGCCTAATTCGTCGTCTAAGTATTTAGGTTGCGATATTTTTGCTGCTAACTTGGATTCTAAACACGTTTTTATTGAAGCAAAAACTTAGTAATGCTATGTACATTTTATTTAAGTATTTAGAATTGTTGCACACTTTAAGTAATTTAGTTTATAGGTAAATGCAACTTTTATGGGCCTTTTTTTATGTAACATATCGTATAAATTGCTGAAATTATGGGAATGAAGTTATTAGAAAATGTTTATTATTAAATAGCTGTCGCTCCCGACTCTGTCCGCGCGGAGTTAAGAAAAAAAATTAATTATCGGCAATGGATTGTTCCAGGCTTTGTTCTACATATATGCCAAATTTCAGCGAGATCCATCCAGCTGTTCTAGAGATACCATCTAACAATCATCCGTCCATCCATTCAGACATTCGCATTCACAATATTAGTAAAATGTAACACATGAAATATAAACTTGATTCTAGTGTTAACAGCACACATTTACACCTATTTTTTGAATAACCAAATATTTTGAAAAATTGTGTTGATGAAGTTGTAATTTTTAATTTTGTTAATTTAGAGATTTTATTCTGAAAATATCATTTTGCCTGTACGGGATTACTGGTTCTGATGACAGCTAAAGGATTAATGCAAAATTCAGCGAAAATGGAAGCCCATGAAGATAAATCCTTCGAATGCAGTCCAGTCCGACTTCGAATATATATTCATATTAATATAAATTTCAAATAAGCTAAACCCAGGATTTGCAATATAGAAAATAAAAAAAAACCGGTAATATTTGCTTAATATCAGCTATAATATTATAGTTTTAAGGCGATCTGTTAAAAGAGGTCTATGGAAAAGTATAGATAACAATAAATAAAATTGATATTTAGAATGAACTGAATTATCCAACTAATATCATAAATGTCAATGTTTGGACGTATGGATGGACGGATGGACAGAGGGATGGATGGATGTTTGTTAGAAGGTATCTCCAGAACGGCTGCATAGATCTCGCTGATATTTAGAATAGATGTTAATTTTTTTTTATCCCGCGGACGTAGCCGCGGACGACAGCTAATTTTTGATATATTTTTTCCTTATTCGATTACATAACTATTTATCTATTTCAATGATATTTGAATATTGTAAGCAATTGATATTTTTATTTAACAACGCTTGCCGGATAGTCGGAATCGTTAGTCAGCAAAACAATTATTCAACTGTAATATAAAGTTCGGACATTTCTTGCTATCAATAGTCTATTGTGACACGTAATTAAATATTAGGGTTGGCAATACTAAATTATCTCAACATGTAACTTAATTACATAAAGTCACGAACATAAGGGTCGGTTTTCACTGTCGACACTTGTATACAACAAAGCCATCCCTCGTATACTCTTTGAAAAATTTGAGACAACACACTAAAGTCAGTGCAAGTTTTTATTGTTGAAAGTTAAAAAAAAATGACTATCACTAATTGTAAAAAATATGGAACAATATTGATATAATGAAGCAGATTATATAAAATTTGTATTATAATTATTTGAATTGTTATATTGATTGACATTAAACTTAATTGCTGTTAGTATAACGGATTGTAAGATCAGTTGACAACCCTATTGGTATTACAAGGAACTTGCAGCGATTCGTAGTCGGTACTATAATATTTTAAGCTTTAAAGCATGAATCTATTGTGATGCTAATATACCGGAGCTTTATTGTCTTTACGTATTCAAAAGCTGCAGTATTAAGTAATAAAGCTAGATTACTTTTTATTTAAACAAAATTCTAAGTATAATAAGTGTTTTTTTTTAATTTTCAGTCACCTCGCTTAGCTAATTGTTCCATTTCATTTGACACTCGGAGTAATTGTTTTGAAATTAAGTCGCTTTTCATTTGTTCTATTTTTATTAGCGTTTACTAAGAAATAACGGTTTTTATTTCAGTTTTTCTATTTATAAATGTTAAAAGTGAGGATTAATGTAAAAATTAGAAGCTTGTAATTCTAATTCAAACTAATTTCGCGTATTAATCTCAATGGATGTTCGTCAATGACATTTTTTGTTTTACAAATAAAATAATTGTATTTCGTATGAAATGTCACAAACATCGTATTTTATTAATTCGAATTAAAACAGTATTTCCTACCGACTGCGATTGAAGCAAACAATGCTTTAATAATAGGTCAGAAACAGAAAGTAGTAAATAAAATCAAAATTGTTTAACGACAAAAACCCTTGGTTTATGTTTTCGTCAGACAGGATTGGCCCAATATGGGTGCGTGTGATAAAAAATCCCAGTTTTCATTGTTTTAAACTGACTCAGGGACGTAACGGTTTCGCGCGAGTGTATATTTTATGTATGAAGATTTGTACGTAAAGTAATTTATATTGTAGCCTTTAGCCTAAACGACCGAAATGATATTGACTAACATTTCATCACTATCCGTAGGTTTCTGAGACTAAAATCCTCGTTTAAAACATATTGTTACCTCTTTTTGATGAAACAAGAACGACGATATGTTTTACATTAGAATTTGGTCTCAGAAACTCACAGTATATGTCATAGAGGTAACATTTTATATTTTTTTATTGATTTTAAATTAAACAAGTTGTATTTTCATTGTGGCAGGATGCTAGGATTCAGCATGTGGGGTGTGGCGGTAGTGGCGATGCTGTTGCTGGTGCAGCGAGTGTTCGGTGCCGGGTACTGCGCCACAGACACGCTGCGCACCAACACCACTTGGATGCAGTTCACCAAAGAGCCCGTATCCTTCGAGTACGGCTTCCAGGACAAGTTCAAGAGCATCCATTGCTGCGTCAAAGGCTATAGAAGCATCGAATGGTGAGTGTTTCTAACTAATATATATTTCAATCACGGTCCGTCGCCGCCATGTTGAAATTCCCGTACAACAATGCGCAGGTGTGGATAAAAACGGCTACTTGAAATATTTTTGAGCATTGTATTCGCGGATGAAATTATAATCGCGTTTGATTCTTAAACGGCAATGCCCTGCGATGTCACCTGTGTTCAATATGCAATGTTCGCTTAACAACTTAGTATTGCATGTACTTGTCTTTTAAGTGTAGATCATTATAAGTTTTATATCTCGATTTCCTCATCGATATGCAAGTTTCATTCTGTATTTCGTTGGTATTTTTATCCATTTTATTTTATGTAAAGAATACTGTCGTCAGTTGAAAGTTTATTACAAGTCTTTTTTTGCTAATGTGGTTGTTTGTTAAAACGTAATGAGTAAGACGCAGCAAAAAGTGATTCGAAAAAACAACCTCGTGATCCAAAATCACTTGACGTCCCGCTACTCGATTTCAACAACGACAATTGCTTAAAATTCTTTCTGAATAACTTTAAAAAAAAAGGCGAATGACGAATATAATGAAAAGAATATTCGTATTCAATCCGAATTAAAAGCCTTTAGATATTTATCCGCTGAATTAAAGCGTATAATTGAATGTAAGCTTTAGGAACGCGTAATATTTTAATCTACCACTAAATGTATTGATTTCAATTCATGCCTTTAGGTTTAACGTGCCATTATCGGGTCGTCATAAGTTAGATCAGATTCTAAAGCAGGAAATGAAACTTTAAAAAACTGTTATTTAACCTTTTCATTTTCTAAATCAAAGTATGTGTCCTGCATGGTATAGCATCAAGAGTGTATATACACAAAGTCATCTCGTCTGGCGGTAGACGTATGCCTGCACGTATGTAGTGGTATCGATCGGTATAATGCTTGTCGGACTCATAGGCGTAACTGCGTCAGTAATAAGGCATGATCTCGATTGCAACTGTAGTGTTGTTTCGCAGAACTGGTGGCTGCCGGCGCGAGCCAATCTCTGTCCATTGCAAACTTACATGGTATACGTATAAGTTTGTTTGTTGAATTTAATCGCATCTAAGTGAATTGCTGTTTCATTATCTGGGAAAATCTTGTAACTTTAAAGCTATGTTTGAACTAGTTAAATAAAAGCTAGATTATTTTTACCGTTGGTTTCTGAGACCTAAATCTCTGTATAACATATCGTCATCTCTGTCATTTGACAAAACAGAGTTAACAATGTGTTTTAAACGGGGTTTTGGTCTTAGAAACTCATGGTTAGTACGTAAGTTCGAACATTGGTGATATTATCTCAGTTGCATGATAATGTTTAAGCAAGAACATATAAAATGCATCTTCAAATTTCACTAAAAACTAAGTTTAAATAAAAAAAATTCTTCACCAAAATGAGGAATTGTTTTCATCGCTCTTCTCGAATGTAATTTGTAACGATCTTGCCTTTTTACGAAAATTATAGCGAAGTTCAAAGCTGGTATAGACAAACTATACTTTCTAAATAATTATTAATTCTTATAAGTTACTAATATATATCACAGTGCAATACAGGAAACTCATTTTTTCTCTACATTTATGTATATTGTCTATGACTAGTACTAACAACAGTTTAATTACTAAGAAAAGGTTCATTTTTTTATTATTCACCTTTGCAATTATGCAGTGCATATTCATTGCCTTATTGTTTATAGTAACAAGAATTTACTGTTTAACCTATTATAATGTTTTTATTAATTCTAATTCTTAGTAAATTAATTAGTAGTTAACTTTCGAATACAATAGCGATTTCATTATATTAATTTGATAGAGAAAATTTAGTACTTTGTATTTAATACTTGTAACATGAAAATCCGTAGGATACAACAAGTATGTGATTAATTTATTTGAGCTCATCAGTTCATTATACATCTCCAATGAAGGGCTCTGAGCCTACCCTAATTTAGTGGTGATTAGGTCATAGTCAAACACGCTGGCCCAGTCCGGATAGGTTGACTTTACTCATATCTCTGAATTTATTCTCAGATATATGCAGATTTTATTACGATATTTTTCTTAACCGTAAGAACGTCGGATAAATACATATGTAAATCGAATATCGAATAAACACATTGGTATATTGCTGGATTTGAACCTCGGACCTGCAGTTGCAAATCAGGTGCTTAAATCCCTGAGCAGCCGACGCTCTTATCATATCAATACTTTATCGAATCTTTGTTTTATTAATTGATATCAATTTGCGATCATGATAGGAACTTGTTTAGTATGTTTATGAGTCAGTGTTTAATTGGCGAGAGTGCAAAGGGTAAATTATCGTAACTAACATTATAAGGTATATTTTAACGAGATAAGAATCTTGATAGTGAACATTTTCTTTTCAACGACAAAGCTTTTATTATTTAAACTTTAGTTTTTATAAATGACTGAAGATGTAACTGAGGTCGATGTTTTTTAGAAGGTATCTCCAGAACGGCTGTATGGATCTCGCTGAAATTTGGCACAGATGTAGAATATAGTCTGGAAGAACACATAGGCTAACTAATTAGGTTTTTTTTTAATTCCACGCGGACGGAGTTCGGGGCGGCACCTAGTTGAAAATAAATAAATTAACACACTATTAAAATTATACAAGTAAAGTTAAGCAACCGTAGTCATTTTAGCTAAACTATAAAGATTCCGTACTATCCTTGCGTTAGTTTTTAGCTTGATCTTTTGAACTTTATAATATTTGTGTTGAGATGAAAGTATCGTTAAAGTCTTCGATAGGTATCGGTGACGTGTGACGAGTGAATTTATTTGCGTGACTCAGAACGTTTGCGATATGAAGCTTGTAAGGCGGTCGCCGGCGGGCCGTAGTGGTGGGTTATGTCATTATCCACTTGTTTTAACTTGCTAAATTGCAAAGTATAAAATCATCACGCACTTCACAAGGTTCCGAGAAGTAGTTAGCGTTGCGACGTGTTTATAACTTCGTACTTCTTAATTTGCATGACCCCAGTGATGGCGGGAACCAGGCTCGGATTATGTGCCGGTCTTGTTTGAAATGAGTTCACAATGTCAAAAGCATGACAGGTTGTCATAACTCTTCCACTTAATTGTGTAACACTGACCGTTCAAGTGCGATTTTAGTTTGAAATCTTTAAATGTGTGCAGTGTTGTTGTTTTAATGTCTGTGGATGTAGTTAATAGGTCAGTGGTCTGAGAATGTAGTCGTATACTGTACCCACAAAATTCCATACCTAGCTGCTCTCCTAAAGATGAATATACATAGATTGAATCAGATTAAGAAGAGATATAGGACTATACCTTTATTTCCTCAAATTAAATTTAATATTGACATTTCTTTTTACGCCTTTTTTTGTGTCAGACAACTGCTTTTTTCATGATTTCATTTGACATTTTCAAAACGACTTCGAAGCCATATCACCTATATAGAAGACGAAAAAGAAATACGTGCCCGTAAAAAAACCTAATATGTATTTTTTTTTGGACTTCTTAGTTGTTTCAACAAAATTATTTTTGATGCATTGATAACTCAACGACATTTACGCGCTTCAATAGTGGTAGTTGATAACCACATCGAGCTGGTTTTCACCCGCGGAATTAAAAAAAATAGTAGCCTATGTGTTCTATTGGACTATGTTCTACATTTATGTCAATTTTCATCGATATATGTTGAGCCATGGGTTAATTATGCTAAAAGGTAGAACCTTTCATCCATCAATCTATCCATACATCGGAACATTCGCATTTATATTAGTAAGAAGTAAGATAACATTGTGAGAAAATGTATAAAAATAATAAATTTTAAAATAATTGCTCGATTGTTGCCAGTGGTAAAGCGTTGGAACAACGACCACCGCCCGCGTGGCTACGTGGGCCAGTTCGGTACCGTGAAATGCACGTCGGTACTATTTCGCCTTAATAATGACTGTACGCACGTGGACTCTTTATTTACCTCGCACTTTTCCTAGAAGCCGGTAATTGTCTCTTATCCGCTTCACGCTTTTGTGACACCGTTCACTATTTCTGTTTGTCACGATTATAATTGCATAGCAAATAATGTTTATAGCAATTTAAAATATATCACTAACTTTTTGCTACTGCACTTGTTATTGCAATGAATATATACTAATACAAGCGGTAAAAAAACTTAATAAATGACCTGTGTATTCTTCCAGAATATTTTCGACATCTATGCCAAATTTCAGCGAGATCCATACGGCCGTTTTTTAGATATCATCAAACAAACATCCATTCATCGAAAAATTCGCATTTATAATATTAGTAAGATTAAGCAATTAGTTAAGATGCAGAGCAACCGTTAACCACTTGTTAAAGAAAAAAAACCTTTTTATAATTGATAATGATTACCAGTCGAAAGTGTACTGTCATATACTTTTGTCTCATAATTATTACAATAATCACTGTTGTAAATTTCTAAAACTTTCGTAACATTTGAAATAACGACCAAATAACTATGACACTTATTCTGTATGTCAACATATCTACAAAATAAGAATAATAATCGTTTTTTTTTGGGCGGCGCTATGCCGCCCTCTCGTTCCCCCTATCATGTTGTGGCCTTTGGTTACTTTATTTAAATTATTCACAAAATTCTTACACTAGTTGCTTATAAATTAATACATTTTTACTTACTACTAATTTAAAACTTAATACTATACAGTTAAAAAAAATACTTAAAATTTTATATTATAATACTATTTACTGAATAATAATCGTTTAATTTTATTTTTATGTAATTAATGTTGGAAACTATAGATGTAGAGTAATTATTAAATGCGGAAGCTGTCATGCATATGCAGCTCAGTGTTGTAAGCTCGCGTGTCAACTTTAATCCATAATAAATGTTTATGTTTTCAACACGTGTTGTTTTTACTTCGTCGAATAGTCATTTAGAACGTGTAACGGAATAGCTGATACCACATTAAAATACTGCTCAATAGAACATGAACATATATGGATGTCATTA